TACACAGGGACACAGACGGCCAGAGAGCTCTCACACTTCGTCTCCATCTCTCTTCTCTGGCTTTTCTCCTCTTCTCTCTCTGTGTCTCTTTACAAAGCGAATATGTAAATGAAAAGTTCTGATGTTTTTTTAAAAAGCTGCCAAAAATAAACAACACAAAAATGCGCAAAATGGTTGTCCAAATGGAAATGGCAAATGGTAAATTCAACAAAATGCATATTTACTGCCAGCCAAAGAGTTCTAGAGGAATGGCAGACAGAGACCCACAGAGGAAAGGGTAGCTGGCAGCAGTTGGCTACACTTATGAAAGCTATTAACTAATCTTATTGGTTTCCCATATGGAACCTTTCACTCAAAACAATTCTGGGGAATACAATAATCCTTTTTACTTTCAATCAATCAATTCGGTAATCTTTTCCCCAATCGAAACCGCCAATCAAAAATCTCTACAGAGCATTTGGCATTCGTTTGCCTGAATCCTTTTGATGTTTGCTCTTGGCTGTTGGAAAATATTGTCGAATATTTTCACTGGCTAAGGAAGGCATCACAAATACAAACACACACACACACACACATACACACACATATGCTATATGGCAAACACACAAGAACTTTCCATATGTCCCCTCCCATATGTGTATGAGTATTTGCATGCAAATTGTTTGCTTTAAAATATGCACAAATATCACAATTTTTGCATTTTTACAAAAATCTCACAAGGAAAAGTTATTCCTTATTTGCTTTAAATTCGTTGCTAGAGTTACCCTTTGGCTGCTGCAGACCCCTAGGGATAGAAAAAGGAGAGTGGGAGCCCCCCCAGTGGCCACCTGCCAAAGAGCGGAACCCCAGCAGCAGCAAATTGTAACCGCAATCAAAGGCCATTGATCTGTATAATTTTTTTGTTGCATGGCCTAATCATTAACAACAATTGCCGCAATTTGCCACATGATGACACATATGCAGCGATTATCATCGCGATGATTATCGCGTAGACAAACAACAAACAACAAATATGCAAAATTGTTTGTTACATTTATGACAAGCTCTAAAAACTCCAACCAGAGAATTCAAACAGGGGGAAATCCAAAAAACTAAACTACTGGCTGGAGGGGAGAGAGAGAAACAAGTACCGGGGTGCACCAGAGGGTAGGGTACGGTTGCCAGGGTGTTGGGATTTCTGGTTGGGTTCTGCTGTTCGGTGCTGCTCGGTCGCGCATTTAATTCAATTTGTTAATTTTCAAATCCGCAAAACTATTTGCCAGCGAGGGAGTTGCCTAGGCAGGAGCTGGCCTCTGTCTGCTTTGTGGTTTTATTTTTTGGGTACATGAGGGAGTCCGACACGGGCATGTGTCTGTCTCTCTGTGTGTGTAGGACGTTATGGAGCAAGGTTCTCATATTTCAATAATTGTGATACATTTCATTCTGATTCCAGTTTATTTTTATTTCATTTTTATATAGTCGACTCAGCCGGGCAGGGCAACGCAACACAACAACAATAAAATCAATTGAAATGTGTTGGCAAACATGTCAAAATAAATTATAGAGCACATGTCTCTATGTGGTTAAGTGTGGTTCTCTCTCTCTCTCTCTCTCTCTCTCTCTATCGCTCACTCAGTCGAGTGTGGGTTGTTTGCCACGTTGGTGACAGTGGTGGCTGCCACTGTGTGTGTGACTGTCGAGTACGGGGTGTTATGCAAGTGTGGCAACCACAAAAACCGAATTTTAATTTGCACTCTTGCAGCATTTGTTAGTCGATAAAACTGGTCCCAGGAATCTCTAGCCTCTCCGCCAAACGGGAACCGAACCCCTCGGGATCTAAGCGGCTTACAAAAGGTTCTTTTCACTCGCTGGCGGCAGGAAATCAGACGAAACCCCACCCAACACTCAACCCTCTGGTTTTCAAAAGGCCAAAAGGGATTGCACAACTCGAACGCCCATTTACAGGGTATAATTAAGTTAAGTCTTGGGCTGAACAGGAAAGAAAAGAACAAAAGTCGAGGAGGCGAGTGTCGAGTCGAGTCGAGTCGAGAGAGTTGACGGCACGGCACTCGTGTGCCACGGATGGGGTTGTGGGTGGAACAGGGCGGTGGCACTGCTTCAGATGTTAAACTACACTGAAGAGTCTCTAGATCCCTATAGAGCCATCAACAGTCAGCTCGGAGAGACTTTTCCACACTTCAAAATGATTCCAAACAATACTCCAACTGTTTCAGGCAAGTAAAAATTTCTCAAATTTTAACTCATAACTCATCCAATTTGATTTGCCTTAGCCTTTAAAGACTAAAATTCAATCAGCTATTGGGTTTTTTGAACATAATTCATACCTCCCAAGACTACTAAGTCCAGCACCAAAGCCTGGGAAATGATTTAACATACATTTTCAGGCCAATACACGCCCACAAGCCAGTCGTGTGTCTGTGTACCACCTTTCCCAGGCCACGGGATGGCGATGGCCCCTGCCCCACAACGGTTGCAGTTTCGACACCTTGCGGCCAAAAGCTGAGGTTAGCATGGCCACTCGATTCCAGTTGGACTTTGGGTTTTTTCTGTGTGTTGAAGATCATAAATCAAGACGAGGAAAGATCATTAAAAGAGAATCTCTGCTATCATAATAAAGAAATCACACGAGAAAACAAACGGAGACTCAGAGAGAATCGAGACTCGTCTTCGTCTCTTGTGATTTGATCGCTCAATCAAAATGATAAATGAAAATTAATATTTCTTAATGCTGTTTACAAAAGTGAGAATTGTGCACACACGAAATTTTGGAGCTTTTTTTTGTGTTGTTTATTCCCTTGGCTTTTTTTTGGTGGGGGTGGAGGAGTGATATCCATTTGTGAGAAAGGCGCTGGCTGTGGTCGATTTTTCATTGCCGTTTGGTCATTGTTTGATAAGAATTATTGCAACATATCAATCACGAGGTTAAGTGGATCTCTCTCACACTCTCGTTAGGTGCATGAAATGTGAGGGAACATGCATCAAGCAGCACGCAACAAAACCAACCGACAAATCCACAAAATGAAAACATTAAACGTGAACAACGGAAAACGGTCAGAAAATAAAAGGTACCCCAGTCCCTTACACGAGTTTGTATACCCAACTAAAACAACAGCCAGAAAGAGCAGAAAGTTGTGGCAACCGACATTCATCAACATCAAAAACAAACAGCAAAAAGGCGCGAGGCACCAGCCACCATACCACAACACGCCACAAACATTGACTGGCTGGCAAGAGTCCCATACCCAAGAGTCCGGGGGCCCATTTATATAGAGACGTCTCGAGGTGCTGCGCCGCTTTTTGGCGGTTGTCGCGGTTTCTCTGAGAGCTCGGCTCTGCATTATTATCCCGCACTTTAGTCGATTAATTGACTTTATAGCCGCAGTCCGAGCAGCGGATGGAGATGGCTATATTATAGAGCCAATAAGCCAATGGGGTTCCAATTAGAGAGAGGTTTCGTGTAGTTGCCAGAGCAGCTGGGAAAGTCTTTCCCAAGCTGAGAGATGAATTACAGACAGGGAAGAATTAACTGATATCAAAAGAGATCTTTACATTCAAGCAGCAGCTCGCAAGTCCGTGTAAACAAGCCTCAATAATACACTCATTGATTCGCATTAAATCGTGTGACTAACCCCGTAATACAACCATTATTTCCGTTATCAGCTCGCATCTGAATGGCGAGCAATGCCCGAAAACTGATGCCCCTCTCGACCTAATCCAATTCAGAGCGGGGAACAAAACCGCTGGCCTCCACTCAACCGAGAGAAAGGCTGACTTTAAGCAAATTAGCAATTCAACAAAAGTGTCGCCTCTGACTCCGCCCTCCAGCCCTTTCCTCTGTACTGCCATCCTCTCACGCTTCAACGCAACGCCGTTCGCCTAATCGTGGCACGTGCTTCCACATATATAATCACAGGGCGGCGATGTCTGTGCCACTGCGAAAAAAAAGGGTCGACTGCGGAGTTCGGGGGATGCGCTGAGAGTTGAGAGCTCGAGATACTCGACTCGAGCAAGTTGTACAACACATAAAGATAATCCAATCTTATGCTGCTAATTTTACACAGCAGCAGTTGCAAGAGCAGCCCGACGATCCGGATCCGCAGCACACAATTTTCGGGCTACGAAATAAAATCAAATCTCGTGTGAGGACGAGCGTGTGCAAATGTGGTTAGGGCCCATGTGCAGAGCTACGGGGAGGAGGAACTGAACTTAAAACCCGGAGAGTAGCTGCTGGAAACCGCTGCAAGCTTTGCGAAAAACTTTGTCCCAAAAGAAAACCCTCAGACAAATAAATTCGATTATGTCCCGAACCGCCCACAGAAGGGGACCCCCTGCTGAGGAGCCAACTCCTGTGCGGAGGCGTGGCGTGGCACTTTTTTTCTTCTTTTTTTGCTGCTGCCGTTGATTTGTTTGTTTGGCAAAAGTTTCGAGCCAGCGAGATGCCTAATTCGTTTATCAAATCCACTTTACATAGTTGAGCGAGTTCCCCCCCCCTGGTTCCAGGCATAAAATATGAAAATTCAATAAGCAACACAGGGGGCAGTGGCAGTCCTAGAGCATCATCCTCCGAGCCTTGCCACTTGCCGCTTAATTGTGCGTCGCGTCGCCTCGCACCTGCACTGCGTTGTGCTGTGCCTTTGCACACGGCAAGAGGCGAAGCACGTGCAACAGAACAGAACAGAACAGAACAGAGCAGAGAGTGATGATGTGAGACAGCGGGAGGGAAACACACGCACGAACTGCATTCGCAAGTGGGCGTGCATAATTTATGCTGATTCTCCTGAGAAACCAAACCTAGCACAAGCCAACCAACAAAAAACAAAATTAAATGAATAGCCGTGGAAATTAAAAGTGCAAGATATGTATAATGCAACATTAGTTTAATAAACATCAAATCAAACTTTACTCGCTTTACTAGGCTCGCTCTTTACAGAGATAAAAATTTCCCCACATAAAGCATGAATCAAATTCAAATTTCTTTTGAAACGATATTCTCAAATCATTTACGAGATTAAATGTTATTTTACGTATGTATATTTTTTAATTGTTGTGATAAATTATTTAGGAATAACGAACTGTATCGTTATGCAAATGCTTTGGAGCTCCATCCGGGCCAAAAAATCTAAAAAAAAAAAAGGAAGAGAACGCAAATTTTGTAAGAAAATAAATCAATGCCCAAATTGCACAAACGGAATTACCTTCCTGGATTCTTCAGTTGGAAATACAGTTACTATTTCGTCAAGTAAAGTGCTTAATGTTTGTGCTAACGAGAGTTTAGTTTTGAAAGACTGAAACACAGTCAGTCAGTCCCTCAGGAGAGCGATTAATAAGTTGGTCCAAATTCTAAACAATGCAAAAGTGTGAGTCAAAAGTCAAAGTGTGTGTACAAATAATTTAATTACTTTGTTTTGTACTCTAAAGTCCGTGTATGCTTAATGCTTCCAAACTGTAATCAAAAAAATGGAATGTATTGTACATGTGAGTCTCAGATGTTTGTTTATGTGTACATAGGTCTCTGTATATGTGTACCTACATTTATTTACCTCTGTCCGTTGCATCCTCAAAATTCTTTCACGGAATTTGGCACGAGGGCCTACTTTACGAATGGTGTCTCTGACATCCTCAGGGATCATAAACTTCAAGCAGTCGTATGTTGCTTCAGCAGCTGTAAATTGGGTATATTTGGAATTGAACTTTTTTTTTTGGTTCTAGCTACTTTTACAGGGTTTGAATTTACAGTTTTTTCTACTAATTTTCAATCAAATTTACGCTGAAAGAGAGTCACAGATAGATATAAGAATTGAAATTAACTTCAACAAATACTTGAAAGTTCGACTACAGGACGTAAAACAAAGATCATAAGAGCGAAGAAGTAATTACATACATTTGTGAATATGTTGATGTACATAAACATGTACACTTCGTACATCAATTATGAATCTCCTCCCCACTCGAAATCAACATGCATTCGAGCTCTTCTAACCCATGGGTATAAGCGGGCTACGCATCTGCATACACACACAAAACATGCATGCATACAAGTAAAAGCGAACGCGCTGTTATAAAATGTTTAGCAAACGTTGACTTGAAATGTGCTCATATAATTTCGACTTTCATCCAAAACACACATACTAGATGCATAGAAACATTTATACATTCTTTAATCAATGCGTACTTTAAATTCGACATGCCGAAATTACATATGTACATATATTTATGTACCTACATACATACGTAAATATTGATCTATCTTAACGAGTATTACAAGAAAGACAAAACAGAAAAGAACAGTTACAAAATGAGTAGATCCGCAAGCAAAATAAAACGTGCATACATCTAAAAATGCATGCATGTGTGCATTGTTGTGAGCACTTTAACTGTAAAGCCCGCGTTTTTAGGGTTGCGGATTGGACATGATCAATTGTGGATACAATTATGTGTATGGATATAATGCGTAGAGATGGAGAGATAGGCTAACATTATAAGCGCATGTACAAATGTGTGCAAAAATGGGTTGTCTTGTCGCTTACCTTTCAAGTCCTCAAACACGGATTCCATTTTTATTTTCTTCAAGAACTCCCAAACAGTCTGGTACTCTAATACCTCCCTCTCAAACGACATTGGTAGAGACATTTCCACTTGTTTAAATTCACAAAACACGAAATTTAAGCACAATTGAACGCGAAACGAAAATTTAACAGAAAAACGCGCCGAACTGCCGCTCAGAGTGACCGCTGATAATTTATACCGCACGATCCTCAAAAATATACCGAAATCCAACTTATGTTAAAAATATACCGTAAATACCGTATATTTTAAATAATTTTCCTCGATTTTGATTTCCTGCATAATACTAACAGCTAATTACTGTTCTCAGCGCTAAATATCGAATTTTATTAGATTTATCAATCAATTCTGTGTAAGATTGGCTAGTTTTCATGACTTTTTTTTTATTGGATTGCTTACAAAATAAGGCTCAAACTAAATAGTCCAACCAAAAATAGCATAAAAGCATGAGTGGGATTGCCTTCTATGTATATATAAATCGAGCTAGATTCATTCTCATTAACTATAACCTGCGAAATGTTGTTGAGATTGCTCTTCAACAGAGATGGACTTGTTTTAGGTTTGCTTGTGGATCCTAGATCTCAAACATTTCCTTAATCCGAGCATATCCTTCTCCCCAAGGGTACCAGAATTACCGTGCCCATGTTGGGGAACATTGCTGATCACTTTTCGCAGCATGCTGCTTGCCCTTACAATGTATGTTGCGAACGGTAATACAAGTAAGTGGGGAGGGATGGAATAAGAGCTTGGGAAGAGTATACGTGCGATCAGCTGATATTGTATCGATGATTCGATATTATTGTCGAATCGTTTCAATTTGAATATTTAAACTAAATATTTTGCAATTTTATGATAAATGAAAATTGCTACTAGCATTTTACTTAATTTAAAAGAAAATTTGAAACCATAAACTAGAAAACTCTTCAACCCTTTCAGCATTTGACACTCTCTAATTAGTTTCCACACATTAGTTTCCACGCTTCATGCTCTGTCAATTGTCCGGGGCAACATCATTATCATCAGCCCTACCATCTAATTGCAGTTATGTAGGTGCTCTCCTTGGCAATTAAAAGATCATTTCTGCAGTGTGCGGGTCTCTCACTTCATTAAATGTCAATTCGTTGACCTTCATTGACGCGCCTAATAACTTCATTAGCTGATGTTGCCCGCCCCTAAAAAGAAAGGGTGACACAATCCCAATTGCCATTTTTAAGTTGGATTTTAATTGTCTTGAAGTGAAATGTTTGAAATTCGTTTGATTCCAACCCGCATGACAGCAGTCCAAAAACATTTCTCAGCACGAGAATTTCTTGATGATTTTTTATGAATATTTCCTGACGCAGCAGGCGCCAGGCACCACCAAGAACCATTTCCTGCACTTCCTTGGCTCGGCTTTTTGTCATTATTCACACTGCAGTGATTTCCAAAAAGGGCGAAAGAAAACGAAGATGGCAAAGGAAAACCCAAAGGACAGCCAGAAAAAAAGAAATGAAAAACTTTGATGCTTTGTGGAAAATTCATAAAACTTCCGGTTGGCAGGGTGTGGATGGATGCCAACAGGGAGGGGGGCAGGCATGGGCTGTGCAAACAAGAAAATGGCGCATTTTAAAGCCTCGAAAAACGGCAGCAGCAGCAGGCAGCAGCAGGAGAAGGAAAAACAAAGTCCAAGGAAATGTTCCATGTCAAGAAATGTTTCAAAGTTGCCGCCATTTTCTCGGTGTCTCCCTGGGCCTTCCTTGAGGGGGTGTTGTGTCTCTCTGTGTGTGTGTGTGTGTGTGTGTGTGTGTGTGTGTGCTTATTCCACCCCCGCTTGGAGCTTCTTGTTTTCTTTTCTTGTTTTTTTTTCGCGTGCTGTGTGAGGGTTGAAAGCAAAAATAAACAAAAATCAAAGTTGCAAATAAGAAAGAAGAAACTACAAAGTAAGTTAGCATAAAATAAAAAAAGTTTAGCGGCGCCTTGTTTTTCGGAAGTTTTAACAACTCAAGCGAGGGGCGGAGGAGGGAGCTGCGCTGGCATACTTAGCCCAAAAGCCACCCCACACAGACGGATGGACAAAAGATTCTGTCGAGCACTTTTCGTGCAACAAAAGCCGGAAACAGTCGGCAACAAAAAGAAAGGAGAGAAGAGCAGAGCAGAGCAGAGCAGAAAAAGCTAAAGAAAAACTCAGTCAACATCCTCTCAAGTGCTTCCTTCGCTGACTCGTCCTCCTGCCACTCGAGGCAGCTCCCTTCTACTCCTCAGGCAGCTACTTCTCAGCATGCAGCCAGCGATGTGGCCGCTCAGCCAAGCGCAAGGACAACGACGCTGGGGCACAGCGTGGCTGCTCCCTCACCTTGCTCATGCTGATCACGTCTATTTATTGTGCACATAATATGGCAGCAGCAGCAGCTGGAGGAGCTGGAGCTGCTGCTCCAAGTGAAGCTCAGCTTCCATTCCACTGCCGACTGCCTCCTCCGGGGGCTACGTGCGACGCATGCATCGCTGGACACGCTGCCTGCTTGGGGGACTGCTTGCTCCTCCCTCTCTTTGGGTCTCTCTTTTTTTTTATTTTCTATTCCTATTGCTCTCCTCCACGGAAAATTCAATTATCGAATGCGAATTGTTCGCTTCTCTCTTCTCTCTTCTCTTTCTGTTCTTTTCTCTTTCCTTTTGTGCTTTTTTTTGCGTTTCCGCTTCGCATGATTTTTTGTTTCAGCCAAAAGCAGCACCGCATCCCAAGACGAACTTTCAGCGTATCAGCATTTATTTGCTGTTGATTTATGCAGCGAACAGGGTACCCAGCAGCAGCAGCAGCAGCAGCAGCAGCACACACACCACACCCATAAAGCCTCCTGGCCCTAACCACCCACTCTGCTCATTCAGTCAAACAATCGCCTGCCTGCCTGCCTGCCTGACTGCCGCCTGCCTGTCGACATTCAGAACGTTGTTGAATATTTGCCAAGTATGCTGATTGAATTTTTTCCAGTTGACTAAATGATATCAAGGATATTTGCCAGACCAGCGCAATGACAGCAGCTCCTGGAAGACAGTCAGACAGACAGCGAGTGTCTTTAAGCAACTTTTGTATACATTTTTACCTTTGGGACCACACTGATTAGATATGGCCAGAGGGCCAGGCAGCGGTTTGAATATTGCTTAAACATAAATATCCAAGGGCCGAAAAGTATTGCTAAATATTGCCCTGCTCTATGCGGGGGGAGTCATATTAATTCTCATATTTTATAACATTTAATTAGACAGTCAAAACCCCGCCCATGGCTGACATCTAGCAGCTGCCTTTAGTCGTGGCTCAGGCTAATGTTTGCTGTAGACACCCACAAGTACGAGTGGAGTAGCTGCAGCCGGCTAAACCTCCATTTAGCAGCCTCCATTTAGGAGCAGCAGCATCTGCTCTGCTCCAAACCATTTAAGCATCGCTGGCATATTGTCAATCTCCAATATTTAGACAGGCAGAGCGGGGCGTACCATTCGATGACTAGTAATAATCATGTTTGATGAGCGTAAAGCGAGCATGCACTTTGCAAATACTCCAGCACGAATGAGTCCACACATAGCCATGGCCATTGCATTTGGGGCGTAATTAACACTCGTGTGCGGTGTCTGCTCTGATGCTGCCGATCTATTTGAATCCTTTGGATGCCCTGCAATAATTAATATGCCCAACGTGCGGCACTAGCCAGCAGGGGGGAGGCAGGAGTGGCGTCAGTGTTGGTGTTGGTGGCATAAAAGGCGTTAAATTGACACAATTGAACACCCCCTTGGGACTTGAGTGTGCTGTGTGCTGTTAAATCGGAAATGCCAACATCTTCATCATCATCGCAGGGCCAAAAACTGGCATGACAAGGAGGGCCACAAAAATGCGCGACAAAAGCCAACGCGAATCGATGGTTCGCTGTCTGTTTGTGTGGCATGCAGCGGCTGCCTCGCTCTTTCGGTTGTGTTTGGCCTATGCAAATATGTGCGACAATTGATATTTTGGGTAAACATGCGAAATGCGAAATGCGAATTGCGAATTGCGAATGGCGAAAACGTGACAAAGCTTCCTGCCTCGCTGCAGCATTGAGAGGTGTCAAATGTTTAGCCAAATTATGGAAAATGATAGGGGGCATGGGGAGCGCAAAAAGTAATGCCTAGTTTTACAGACTACTTGTAATTGCCACACATGTCTCAGGCACTCACTCCACGACCCACCTCAAGAATTGCTGGAAACAGCCTCGCAGCTCCGACTGTCAAAACAGGCAAACAAATTGAGCAAATAAGTCGCGGAAATGTTATTTATGTTCGTAAGATTTTCTGTGATTAAATCTGCGTTCCCCTCCTTCGTCCTTCGACTCTGTCCTGCACTGACAAGAGCCTGCCGCAGCTAGCTCCAAATGTGTCAGCATTCGGTTGCATATTAATGGCCTGGAGGTGTGCATGCCAATTGTCATGCGCTGAAATGCTTGTTAACAAAAACGACGATTGCCTTTGCTTCGATCTGCCCCACTCCTGCCTGGATTTCGTTTCCTTTCCTTTTCTTTTTTTAATCAAAAAACAGTCGACGTTCGTCGACGGTGCACTCCTCCCCCGTGGCAATAACGCCACACATTTGTAATGTTGCTTCTGTTTTTATGCTGAAACGAGAAGCCACCAGAGGCAGGCAGTCCACTCCAACCCAGAGAGGGTCATCCTCCTGCAGTTGTTCCAACTCTTAGATGCATTTTACAAGTTACTTTAAGGCAATCAATTTGTAGTCGTAAGAGTGCCGAGGCGAGGGCATGGAGGCTTGGAAAAACCAATCAAAAGAGCGTTGCGAACGCAAATTGAACGGCAAATGGTTGCAAGATGATATTTCAATACACTCAACTCACCTGCAAAAGTGGCCACTGCCCCCGTGCTCCCAGCCCCTTGCCCCCCCTTATCCACTCCTCTGTTATCCCTTGGCCATAAATTATCGCCGGGGCGACGCCTGCGCGTAGTTTTCTTACTTTTTTGCAGTTATGATTATCGCGCCAAGCGTTCGGTTCGGCTTGGGTTCTGAAAGTTCTGCCAAGTTCTGCAAGCTCTTTGTGTGCAAACAAATGTAAAAAATTTTTAATTGACTTTTGGATTTTTGCTGTAGTTGTTGTTCCTGTTGCGCCACCGCCAGTTGCACTTTTATGGCCCCTCGCGTGCATGGCAGCTTAAAAGTTAATAAAACACGCCCAATGATAACAAGCCACAACCAAGCCAAGGCGCATATTTTGCCCCTGAGGTCTTCATCATTCCAAGCCCCAGACCAGGCCAACATTGTGAGCAGCGCTTCGATCTGGAGTCCACATCCTCACCAGCAAACGGCAGGCAGGCAGGCAGGCAGGCAGGCAGGCAGCCTCCGCTCGAAGCTCGTAGAAAAACAATCAATTAAGGGCCACAAGTAGCGCTGGCCGAAGCTGCAGCGGGAGCGCCATCGTGAAAGGAGTCTACGGTAGAGGATCACCAAGATGATGATGATGATGATGATGATGATGATGATGATGATGAGGATTGCCCAGTGGCAACGACACGACTTTGATTCCCTGTGCTTGCCGACGACTGGCGACTGCAGCTCTCCATGACGGGGAGTTTTATGAGCTGCTTTGGCAAAATTTATGTTACATTTTTATAGTTCAGTGTAAATTGACTTTTAAAATGCAAAAATTTATCATAGCAACGAGCAGTAACGGGGGAGGGGCAGGGAACGCTGAAGCGAGCGCCAAGTTTAATTGCTTTCTTAGTGCCGCGATATGGCAACGCTGCAGCTTTTGGGCCACGGCAAAAAGCTCTTCAAAGCGGCATTCGCTCGCGCGATAAAAATCAACCCCCAAAAAACTCACCAAAATGTGTGGCTGAAGCTTATCTTGAGTCGCGCGCACAAAAGCTCTCACCGCTCCCCCCGCCACCCATCAAACACACAGCTAAAGTCAAACAAAATACAGGCCAGACCTTGGCAGAGTCGCGTCGCGTTTTTCTGCTGCAATTTGAGCCACGAGGGGGGGAGGGGCAAAGCTTTTCGCTTGCGTGGGTGTGGATGGGTGCCCCAATTTAACCTCCAACAAGCAGCAAGCAAGACAACAAACCAAATAAAACCCCACAATTGCATGACAAAACGAAACAGCCGCGGAAGAAGACCACTTGCGACGCATTTTGCTGCAAAGAAAAATCCATAAATTGATTGCGGAAAGGAGGAAATGCTGCTCGCCACGGGAAAACTGAGTGGCTGCTGCCGTCGCTTTTGGGACTTTCTCATGGCGCCGCTAACACCCAGGAATCTAAGGACCACAGCGATGCTGACGAGCATATTTCAATTGGTGAGTGTGGAAGGATAAAGGGAGAACGAACCCTCCTTTCCTTACATAACAATGAATTAATAACGGGGGCCCAGCGCACAGATCCGTTGCCATCACGGACCTTTGACGAGGTGCAGCTGTCTTGGCCCCACATACAAAAATTGAGCCTCGGATATGCAAAGCCATACCCCACTGGGCACATAGGGATTGATCCATCCAAAAGGTGCGAGCTCGCACCCTGCCAAACCCCAAGGGGTGGCAAAGGCTGGTCCCAGGGCGCAGTGCGACTCGGCTTGCCAATCTATCAGATTCGCAGTCCTGACTCGGATACCCTTTTTGAAGCAACAGCGCCAGAGAGCGGCAAGTCCAAAGAGGCACAGACAAAACCAGTTGGGAATTTCAGCGCGCACAAAAGATCGCTGCTGGAAGCTTTTTCTAATGTTTCCCCCTGCCTGCCTCTCCCCCTTAGCTCGTTTCCCATTGCATTCTGTTCTTTATGCTGCTCTGCCTGGCACATGCGGAGCAGATTCATCGCTTGCTGGAGCTGGATATACTGGATCAAAAGGATAATGGCTTCTACACCATGGCACCTTTTCACAATGATCTCAGACTGCGTTCGGCAGCCCAACTATCCGATGCCATGGAGAACTTCCTGTACGTCATGGTGGGTGTCTCCTCGGTCTACGCGCTGTGTGCCATCTCCCTGTTCTTTGGCGTTTACAAGAGTCGACCGGGTCTGATTGTGCCCTGGCTGCTGGCTGAGTTTCTGTGCATTGTGGGCATCGGTGTGATGATCTTTATGCTCCGGGATACCAAGCTGACAATGGTCTTTTGCGGCAATGTGCCTTACTGTGAGTTAAAGCATAAATGTAATGCATTTAAGCTGACTTTAACGCTCTTTTCTTTTAGTTATTATATGCTATAGCTTGCTCTGCATGGACTGCATCAAGTGGTATTCCATGCACAGTTTCTATCAGAGTTTGCGCACGATCAACAAGCTGCGAGAGATTGCCACTGTGGCCATACCCTGTCCAGCACCAGGAGCGGTAAGCAGAGAGCCTCCACTTATAGCTTACAACTTAATTGTCTATCTTTGGGCCAACAGATTCCCTATCATTTCCGTCGCGAGCACATGTACTTGGGCAGCAATGGCTATAAGCATATACTCACCGAGTCACCCGATGGACAGTGTTAGATCAGAACAGCAAACTCAAAGAAGTTCTCAAACTTGCCCTTAGTTTTGTTTTACTATTTCGGTTTTCAAAAAGTGTGTGTGTGTGATATGAAAGGAGCAAGCAGAGTACTATTTTAGATAGCCAATGGAACGCATCGAGTGGCCTATTTTAACATACACAAAGAGGGAATGTCCATCCAAATCTTCATAAACTATTTCTATGGTTCGTAGTGCTCGGCCGTCGCTCTCTTGCCTACTAAGAACTAAATCCTAATCCTGTGTAGTTTGTGCATGTCGTTACTTAAAACAATTTCAGCACTCTTAAATAAAAGTTAGCAACAAGAAAAATATGTTAAATATTTGGCCCATGGTTTCTGCTCGCACAATTGCTATCCCCTATGCCCTCGGGCATGCTTGGTGCTGGCCGTTGGCTGTGGGGTTGTGCCTGCTGTGGTTGTGGCACGGGAACTGCTCATCAAAGTCATGTCATTGCTCACACTATCCATGAGCAGGTCCACCACGGTCATGTTGCTGCCACCATCGCTGCCATCGCCCTTGTCCGTGGGTATGCTGATTTGGAACTGCAGCAGCACCACCAGATACGTGACCATTGTGGTCAGCAGACCCTTGAACAGACTCCGATTCACATCGAAGAACCCACCGCAGTTGATGGTCGAGGGATTCATTTCGGTGGCGCGTAGGAACATATTGATCTCCGTCTGGGCATCCGAATTCATCCAATTGAGTTCCACCATTAAAAGTTTCTTCTGGAAATTGGTGCGCACATTCACCGAGGCATAGTGCGCCTCATCGCAGATGTAGAAGAGCAAACCAATGTTCCACAGAGCCGTGATGGTCAGTCCAATATCCTTGATGCCAAAACCCTCCGAGAGCTGCGACATCAGGCCATAGATCGATAGAGTAATGATGAAGAAAAGATACAAACTCATAAAGACAAAAGTGTAGCACGTGGCATTGCCCGTGTCCCGAGTGAGTTTGCTCAGACGCAGCCAGAGGACGCGATAGTCAGCGACCATGGCAGCGGGTCCAATGTGCTTGAGCGCCTTCTGGAAACGCTCCGCCAGCAGATGGGCCGTGATGCTCATGGCCTCGCAAATGAGGAACCACCAGGCGCCCAGCATGGCCGTCAGATTGTCCAGAATGCAGTAGGGCACCACCTGGTTGATGTTCAAGTCGGACATGGTTATGTGGGTGATGACCACCGAGAGCACTGAGAGAATGGGCAGCACAATGGCAATGTACAGCGCCTTCTGGCGCAGACGCAGCGGCAGGCTGTGCCCCGAGATCTGATAGTAGAGCACCTCAAAGTCATCCCAGTCATTGAAGAGATTGGCAATCTTCCGCGCCTCCCACCACAGTATGGGTATAATCATAATGGGCAGAATGTTGACCAGAAACAGATACGCAATCACCGCCTCCTCGAAGGGTCCGCTCAGGGAGCGCACAATGTGAATGCGATTGTTGGCCACATAACCAACATAGCACTGGGGTGGGGGAGAGGGAAATCTATTAGCCATTGAATCATAGAATAGTTTGGGCACCTCACCGCCAGCAGCATGAAGAAAACCACCGAGTAAACAAACGATGCCGAACTCATTTCGAACTTGGCACGGGCCGGACCACGTCGCACAATGGGCAGGACACCAATAACGCGCAGAAACCAATTCACAGGCGCAATGTTTCTATAGAAAACGCTCTAAAAGGAACGAAAGCACTTTCTTTAATCAACCCACTCAAGTCAAAGATGTGCACTCACTGGCGTAAATTCGGGATTATTGGAGCCCGTGCTGTCGGAGCTCTTTTTCCTTTCGCTGGGTGGCGGCTGGTAGTCGGCATCCAGACGCTCTGCCAGCCCAATGGAGTACTTGCGTACACCGTAGAGATATGCCTGAGCATTGCCACTGTTGATGGGCTTGGCATTGTGGAATACCGCATCCTTTTTACGTCTGTAATAGTTGGCCATCTTTGAGAAACTGTGTGGAATTTTCTTCTGTCCATGGCCTTTTAGAACCAGACATTGGCATTAACAATGCATTGATGCACGCCCCGTATCGACCACGCCTTGTTTACATGGTTGCTAGAGTTTTAGTTTCCTGTTGATTTGCATTGTTTGTCTTTTGAATGCATTAACCTTAGCCTGATGTCCCAATTTCGGATTTGTGTCAATGGCGCGCGTGCACACCGCACACTTTCCAACACTCCGTCTCGCATCGCTACAACACTCACGATAGCGATAGCGATAGGTTACACTGTGACCGTTTAGGCGCAGGGGAGAATTTCCCTGACCGTGAAATATAAGGTCGTAAGGCATGCAACGCAATAAAAAGAGGTATTTATAAATAGGCAAATTGTTTCTTCAATCGGATTAAATTATTGTATCAGAGTTAAAAGTCTTTGCAAGCAAGTAATTCCAAATAGAACATCAACATCGAGGAATATGATTTAAGGCCACGGTATATTACGGTATATTTTGAAAATGCAAGGGATATTATTGAGGGTTGTGCGGTATATTTTCTAGATAGTTCCGCAGTCACACTGCTGAAGCGATTAAATACCAAAAAAAAAAATAATAAAATAAAAGCTAAAAAGCATTTTAACGAAAAATTAACGTGAACAAAGCTATCAAAATGGTTGACTACAGTAAATGGAAGAACATTGAGGTGAGTGAGAGCTATAATTGCCAATGGAAGCATGTTTACGAGCCGGCGTCTGTTCCGCGTGCACCTTGCAGATTTCTGATGATGAAGACGACACACACCCGAACATTGATACCCCGTCGCTGTTCCGCTGGCGGCACCAGGCGCGTGTGGAGCGCATGGAGGAAATGGACAAGGAGAAGGAGGAGATGAAAAAGAAACGACAAAGCATACAGGCGCGCCTGCTGGACGTCAAGGAGCGCATTGGCAAAAAAGATGGCGATGAAGCCGCCCTCAAGGTGAGTCACTGCCCCCAGAGCCCATAAAACCCGACTTATCTTTGTGTAATCCTGTGCAGAAAGAGCTGGAGAAGATCGAGAACGAGGGCAAGGAACTGGATCGCATCGAGAACGATATTCTGAAGAAGGAGAAGAAAACGCCATGGAACGTGGACACAATCAGCAAGCCCGGCTTCGAGAAGACCGTCATCAATAAGAAGGCCGGTCGCAAGCCCGACGAGAACCTGTCGGAGGAGGAGCGCGAGCAGCGCATGAAACAGTTCGTCAAGGAGAACGAGAAGCTCTGCAAACAGTACGGAATGCTGCGCAAGTACGACGACTCCAAGCGCTTCCTCCAAGAGCATTTGCAGTTGGTGTGCGATGAGACGGCCAACTATCTGGTGATTTGGTCCATCAACCTGGAGATGGAGGAGAAGCACGAGCTGATGGCGCACGTGGCACATCAGTGCATATGCATGCAGTACATCCTCGAGCTGGCCAAGCAGCTGGATGTCGATCCACGCGCCTGTGTTAGTTCGTTCTTCTCAAAGATTCAGTCCTGTCTGCCCGAGTACCGGCAACAGTTTGAGAGCGAGATCAAGGGCTTCAAGGAGCGCATTCAAAAGCGAGCACAGGAAAAAATTGCGGAAGCCGTGGCACAGGCAGAGGAGGAGGACCGCCAAGAGCGCATGGGCCCTGGGGGCTTGGACCCAGCCGATGTCTTTGAATCCCTGCCTGATGTAAGCTGGACTTTAGTGTTTGCCTCTTGCATTTGTTAATCTTTCGCTTTGCAGGAGCTGAAGGCCTGCTTTGAGTCGCGTGACGTGGAGCTGCTGCAAAAGACAATTTCCGCCATGCCCGTGGATGTGGCCAAGCATCATATGAAGCGTTGCGTGGACTCCGGCCTGTGGGTGCCAAATGCTGCCGATATGCCGCAAGGAGCCGACGAGGAGGAGGAAGCTGATGCAGCTGCTGCTGGAACTGCTAGCGGTGCGGAAAAAACCGACGATGCCAAGTCGGAAAGTGCCAAGGAGGAGCCCATCTACACTGGCGTCAGCACTGAGGATGTTGACTGATTGCCTGTGGCAAGACGCAGTTGCATGTTCCATCTTCACTATAAGTCTAATCTTAACGTCCTGTCCTAACCTTATCCCTCGCGCACACACACGCATATGGAATACCCAAATTCATTCATCCAAAGCCTTTCCACGTTGAGTTTTTGTATATAATTTGAATAAAGTCAGCTAAATTCTCAGTAAGCCTTGAGCCGTCAGTCTCCCTGTAAATCCCTCAATCCAAACCCAAATTCAGTTGCAAAATGAATCGTCCAGAGCTGGACTACTATGCGGTGCTCGATGTGCCGCGCAGTGCCACCAAGCAGCAGATTACGCTCGCCTATCGTCGCCTCGCCATACGGCTGTGTCCGCACAGGGACAAGAAGGATGCGCAGGACTTTGTGCCGCTCGCCCAGGAGGGACGACTGACGCATATGTCGCCCATGGCAGAGACCAAGCAGTGGGCCTACGTCAACATGGCCTTTGATGTGCTGGGCAACGATTTGTATCGCGCCATCTACGATCGCTACGGCGAGGCGGGCCTCTTCGAAGGCGTGATGCTGCCCAATGGCTACTTTCCGCCGTATCAATATCACGGAAATCACCTGAAGGTCTACGAAAGCGTCTTTGGCAGCTACTCACCGTACGCGAATGTCATCGATGCCATCACCAATCCACCCAGTCTGTATACTAGCAAGTATCTGGGCGTTGGCGTGCGCAGCAAGGATGCGGACACGGAGAAGATTATTCAGCTCTCTCTGGAGGAGGTGCGCTCGGGCTGTGTGAAGCTGATGCACGTGTGGCGCCAGGAGATTGTCGACGCCAAGGAGTCGCGGCTGGAGAAGCGCAAGCACACGCTCAAGCTGACCATCGCGCCGGGCACCACGGCTGGCACGCGCTTCTGCTTCAAGGAGGAGGGCGATCGCTATCCCGCCACCATTCCCGGCGACATTATCTTCATAGCCGCCGACAAGCCGCACCCAGACTTTGAGCGCCGCAACCACCACGATCTTGTCTATCGCTATGACATTGACTTAAGCCAGGCGCTGACTGGCTTTATTTTCTTCATCTCTACGCTGGACAAGCGCCAGCTGAAGATTGTCATCACGGATGTCGTCCAGCCGGACTATCGCAAGGTGATCCCACTGGAGGGTCTGCCCAAGTGCCGTAATCTGGATGCAGTGACTGCCATCAAAGAAGCCAACAAGGAAGTTGACCAATTCGGAGATCTCATAATTGAGTTTAATTGTGAGTCTAGAATTCCCGCCAAAAAGTAATATTCTTTCATTTTTCTATAATTGCAGATATTTTCCCCACTTATTTGACGCCCACAATGAAGAGCATGACGCGCGAGTTCTTCCGTGAGTTCCACAAGTTGGAAATGGAGCTACAGGAGGAGGAAGCGAGGAACATGCAGTAGGAAGATTGATTGCCCTGCCCATGCCCTGTGCAAAAATGCAGAAATTTCCAGAAGTTTTCAAGTAAAATTTTGAGTTCAAAGACCCCCACACAATATAGTGCTATGCAGGCGTTGCAAATTAAACAATCTTTATTGTTATTAACAAATTCTAGATTATTCGACGGCAAATTGTGTGGCCAATTGCTTTATATGAGAAGTACAGCCAAGCTGGCTGAGATTACGTATGGATAAGTGGGTTTCTGCTTTGTCCGTCTAACCTCGTTTTGCCATTTAGTAGCTAGTTAGTTAGTCATCTTTGTTATTCTTAAATCTAAAATTTCATAACAAATGGCAGCTGAGCGCCAGGGCTGCGGAAAGGTAAACAGTTTATTGGAATCAGTTCATTGAACTACAGTGTCACGAAATTAATCAGCGCACAATGCAAATTTTATTTGCAATTTTTTTTCTTAAAATTAATATTTAAAAATTTAAAAAAATAAGCACATATAAACTAAAGACATAAAGTATCGTAGTAGCTGAAAATGTAGTTTTAAACGCAAATAATCAGAGAACCAGTTCATGGGCCTACACCAGTTCCGTTCATGAGCGACCAATTCAGGTGCAAACGAACAGCACAAAACATAATAAATAGGGCTGCAAAACCACCGATGGTCGTTCCCTCTAGACTTGCATTTTGTGGGATAATTAAAAATCAATTGCAAAAGCAGCGCATAACAAGGCCCATTTAAGCAGAGTGAAATTAATACGAGAACGACGTGGATACACACATTGAGAAGCGAACAGAGACGCACCGTGTGAGGTTTGGGAGCTGCTCCACTTACAATTCGATTGTCGTGCTACGCTACGGACAAAGTGTGCCAACAGCACACGCCCCCCACCTCCATCCGCGAATCGAGACAAAACGGAAGTAGAATACGCTCCAGTGGCTGCAGCAGGCCGCGCCCAAAAGTGGAACAGCGACGACGATGCATCTGAGTGCGGACATTTCCAGCGCCTTGCAGCAAATCGAGGCCGTCAAAAAGGGAATCGACGAGAGCGATGATCCCAAGCTGCAAATGCAAACGGCGGAGAGCCTCACCACCATTCTGGGCATCCTGCAGGACCCTGTCTTCCGCACCATTGTTCATGTGCAGGACTCCCTCTCCGAGCTGAACGCCCAGCTGGGCCAGCACCCGTCCATGCTGCCCAATGACTTCGACATCGATGTGGCTGGCAATCTCGTCCTGAGCCTGAACGGCGGCGAGGTGATGTACGACTTTGACGACCAACAATCCATATCGGCCACCAGATCGCCCAACTCCCACTCGGCGCCCGGCAGCCCGGACAAGTCCACGGGCGAGGAGCAGCGTCCCCAGAGCCAGAACTCCAAGACGGCGACTGGCGCGGATCTGTACGCCACGGACTATGCCCAGATTCAGGCCATTGAGTTGGTCAACGACGGCACGGGCCTGGGCTTTGGCATCATTGGAGCGCGGAGCTCGGGCGTGATTGTCAAGACAATACTGCCGGGCGGCGTGGCGGATAGGGACGGACGCCTGCGCTCTGGCGATCATATCCTTCAAATTGGAGATGTGAACCTGCATGAGATGGTCTCGGAGCAGGTGGCTGCCGTGCTGCGTCAGTCGGGGACGCATGTCCGTCTCGTGGTGGCTCGTCCCATCGAGCAAAATGTGCCAACACCTCAGTATGCCTTAGAGCCGGGCTGTGCGGTCGTACCGACGCGTGTTCTCGTCGATCCTGCCGAGCTGGAGCGTTACCTTATCTCGACCGGATATCCGGAGATCTTTGGTGAGAGCTCCACAGCCTCCACGCCGCAAACAACGACGGAGGACGATCGCTTTGTGTACCGCGGCGAGACGTCAATGCTCATCGATCCCACCATCGAGCTGGAGGAGCTGCTGGCGCTGCCCGAAACGGAAAAGTTGCAGGTGGAACTGAAGAAGGATGCCAACGGCCTGGGCATCACCATTGCCGGCTACGTGTGCGAGAAGGAGGAGCTGTCGGGCATCTTTGTGAAGAGTGTCTCGCCGGGCTCAGCGGCTGATCTGAGTGGACGCATTCGCGTCAACGATCGCATCATCGAGGTGGACGGGCAGTCGCTGCAGGGCTACTCCAACCATCAGGCCGTGGAGCTGCTGAAGAAGTCTGGCCAAGTGGTGAATCTCCGATTGGAGCGGTATCTGCGCGGTCCCAAGTACGAGCAACTGCAACAGGCCATCGCTGCCAACGATCAACTGCCATCCAGTGCCCCAGGCACACCCTCTCGAGCGCCACTGCCCACACCAGCGGTGGCTGCCACCACATCCTCCACTTCGGCCAACACCACGCCCTCCCGCAGCCTGACCAGAGAGCTGGAAGATGAGGCACTGCCAGCGCCGGAGGCTTTTATGACCACGCCACCCTCGACGACGACAATGACTACGACCACGCTGAGCACTTTCGGTGCGGGCAAGCAGCTGGTGGCTGTCAGGGACTCCCTGGATGGCTCCACAAAGATTATACCCACCGATGTGGTGCCTTTAGCTGACAAAATTGAGGTTGGTCTTCCCAAAAATCCCCCGAAGATCTTCTTTACAACCGATTTCCTTTCTCCTGCAGGCGCCGGTGCATGCCAAGAATGGTGCCGTCATCACCCGTCACAAGTACTACACGGATCCGGAGCTCACCGACGAAGCGGAAACGGAAATCATTCGCAAGTGGCAAAAGATTGTTGGAGCCGATGTGGAGGTGATTGTGGCACAAATCAAAAAGTTTGCCGTCGGCGGTCTGGGCATCTCGCTGGAAGGCACCGTCGATGTGGAGGGTGGCAGGGAGGTGCGACCCCATCACTACATACGCTCCATACTGCCCGATGGCCCGGTGGGCGTCAATGCGGTGCTGCGCTCCGGCGATGAGCTGCTGGAGGTCAATGGCGAGCGTTTGCTGGGCATGAATCACCTGGAGGTGGTGGCCATACTGAAGGAGCTGCCGCTGGACGTCCGCATGGTGTGCGGCAGGAATAAGAACACCTCTCTGCTGCCCTTCTCCGATGACACACTGAAGAAGCTGAGCAATAACTTTGAGAATCTTTTGCCTGCCACCGATCGACTGGTGAAGGCCAAGTCCGACGGCAGCTTGGCCACCGCTGGCTCTGTGGCCGACGCTGATTCCGTGGCCGCTGCCGCGAACTCGTTTAACAAGCTGAAATCGCGCTCCCTGGAGCCACTCACGGGGCTGGCCATGTGGTCATCCCAACCGCAAATCATCGAACTTGTCAAAGGGGACCGCGGCCTGGGGTTCTCCATACTGGACTACCAGGATCCGCTCGATCCCAATGACACACTGATTGTCATCCGTTCGCTGGTGCCGGGAGGCGTGGCCCAGCTGGATGGACGTCTCATTCCAGGCGATCGTCTGCTTTTTGTCAATTCCATAAACCTCGAGAACGCCTCACTGGACCAGGCCGTGCAGGCCCTGAAGGGAGCCTCCAAGGGCGTCGTGCGCATCGGTGTGGCCAAACCACTGCCCATGACGGACAACTCGCTGAAGGCGTGCAGCAATGCGAGCACCACCAGCGAGGAGACACTCGAAGCGCAAATGTCACCGCCACCGCAACCGCCAGCACTGCCCACAGTGGCCCCACCAGCGATGCCAGCAGCAACGGCTGCCAAGGGCGTGGAGCCCGACCTAATACCCGACTGGCGCAACTGAGGCGGCGTCGCGGAAGGAGGAGCTACTGCAAATCGATCAAAGACAAGAAAGACAAAGACAAAGGCCCATTTTTGGGTGTTTTAAAATGAA